AAGCGTAGCAAGAGCTGGACATTGACAATTTGTGAGACTTGGTTGACACAGCATTATTTGGCCAATATACTACGAGCTGAATGGCTTTGGCAGTTGAGCGAATACGAATGACCTTAGGACACCTAACAAAAAAATACAAATAACGGTTGTACAGATCTAAATTATGAATAAATAAATGCTTTTGATCCTACCGTCTACAAGCCCGTTCAGCTTCTTGTCAAGACGCTACCCGATGGGCCCTACAGAAATTAGTGAGGCATCTTACAGGTCAGCTTGTCCTACGGGTTCCAAGCTTCTTACTGAAATACCACTTATCTCCCTCACAATAATCTTTTTATTTACGCACTATTATACTCTTTTTATCTCAAGTACCTAGGCCATTATTAAAGCTAAAACTTGCTCTTTGTTCATATTTGTTGCTTGCCCGAAGTTAGGTTGGTTTGATTAAAAACACAACAACACCAATATTTGAACAAAGCTATATCTTCATCGAAAACATCATAGTTTTCATGCTAAGACCAAAATGGTTACAATTAAATTTTGCAAATATATACTATCATTCCAAGGAGTCTCCAATCCTTCTTATATATATCTCGTAAATATACTTCCGATGATGTATTATTTATAATTGTATTTTATGCCATTTCGCAGTTTCCCAGGAAATTCTTCTCTTCCAGAAATAGCTTTCAATCACGTGGCGGCATAGCACTTACCCAAATATACGCTGTTCACCAGTTGACCATAACTATCAGCAGGAAACAGAACGAAGTTTGAATTGTCACTCAACTTCGATAGTGACCTTAGTGAAGGGTGTGTAAGTGTTGAGGTTAGACTTAAGATAGTCCTCGATATCACCACACTTACTGAAAACTTCACCGTCTTATGACTTTACCAGTACTCTACCTAACGTGTAAGTACTGATTAACTCAATCAAAGTTTAAAAGCTAACAATGGAAAGAATTCTTAGTATGAGTTGTATTTAACGTAACTGAATAACAGATTTAATAAATAAAGTGACTGTACAACTTAGCTGCAGACGTTGCTGGAGGTAGGCTCGGAGAGTGTACAGAAAGAGAGCACAACAAGAGAGCGAACCAATGAACGTACGGAAGACTCACAACTCAAAAGATAGAAAAGTGTATCACCGTGGGTGAGCGAGTTTAAACAAAAGTTCAAAGGTACAATGTGCACTACAGGTGTACAATTTTACATTTATAAGAACCTGCTCTGACTGCTTGTACAATAATCGAACAATTTAAACTTATGAAAAAGTATTAATTTATGATACTTCGGGATTGTAATTTATAACACAACTGATCGTGCCTGTTAAAATTGGATGCATTTCTTGTAAACTTACCCGTTAATACGAAATATAAATCATTATTACTGCACACCAGATCACATTTCCTTAATGACTAGGTTGATTTAAATTGCGTTTGACCGTCAGTACTTACAGGTTAGTTAAAGTACTGAATTATTGTGTACATATACAAATTAAATGAAGTAGGGGCTAGCAAAGTTTAGCTTATCAACAGTACTACTAGAATCCTACAGACTTATCATCACCCTAACGCTAACACTGTTAACTTTCCAGGAGAGACTTCGCTCTTATAATATATGTATATATATACTAATAATTTGAGATAACCTTATCATTCATGAATAATCCCTATCCAGACATTAATGAAAACAAAGCACGTAGTTCAGCGAATAGTCTGTTTTCGACGAGTTCGTTTACTTAGCTTACAATCTCAATGATATATACAGTTATTTTTATATGTGGGTGTATATTAGGTTTGTCCGAAAAGAGTAAAACTAAGTTATGGTTATTGTTGTAAAGACATTTCAAAAAAAGGGTGATGAGTAATCAAACTGTGGGTGGAGAGGGGTGAAGATTGTTAAGAGAGTATGGGTGATATGCTGTCAGAAAACCTAATTTCAAGTATTGGTGTGTGGGGATTTTGTTTTGTTTGATTGTTTGAAGGATTTCACGATGAGATCACATCGGTTAGAGAAACATTAGGAAACCAATAGACAGGAAATAGTACCAAACAGCTGTTTCGTCAGCCTATTTTGGGACTAACCGCTCAGCAGTACGCACCCACCATAGCCGGTTCGAACTCAGGACCTTCTGGTTACAAGGCGAGCTGGCTCGTAGACCATTAATACACTGGGACCCGATCCAATGGTCAGCCCATGAATTCTGACTTCTGCCAATTCACGACATAGCGCGACAGCTAGCCAATATCTTCGGTGAGTATATATCCTCACACCCGACCTGCTGCACCCTTCTGGTCACGACTTCTCACTGGAACCCCAGGTAACTACCTACCTGAATAGGGCAAGTCACTAGTGAGCATCTCATTGATATTCAAGTGTTGGTTTGTAGGGGTTTGATGGGTTATAGGATTTCATCATGTAGTCGGCTTGTAACCAGAAGGTCCTGGGTTTGAACCCCAGTGGGTGCGAACTGATGAAGAGTCCAATACCAGGACAAAACAGCTGTCCAGTTCTCCGAGGTTTTCCAGTGGTTCTCTAACCAATGTCAGCTCATGATGAAATCCTGTAACCAATCAAATCCCTACAAACCAACACTTGAAAACTGCTAGTATGTTTATTGTAGTTTTATAACTTCCTGTTCATTCATGAATATCATATACTGCTTAATATCAACTAAAGTGACAGTTAAGTAATGGAAGCATCGAAGGCCGAACTACAAGTGAACACAGAGGAAATCAAGATAATGGTGACAGCCAACCGAAAACAACAAGTAGCAATCGCTGTCAACGGGAGAAACCTGGAGGGGATCACTACGTATGCATTATTATTATATTATTTTTTTAACTCCTAGAGGAACATAGGGCTTCAGCCGCGCGTCTCCATTGCGTTCGGTTCTCTGCTAGAGTTTTCACCCCGCTCCAAGTCTGCCCACATGCTTTCATCTCCTCTTCACATGACCTCCTACAAGTCACCCTTGCACTGACTACCAGCTCGCCGCTTCTTTTTCGGGTTCCACTCGGGGGCTTGTCTAGGGATGTTACTCACTTGACAGTTTCCTCAGAGTATGGCCAATCCATCTCCATTTCTTCCTGAATATTTGTTTCACAATCGGTTCCTGTTTGGTTCGCTCCCAGAGATCTTTGATGCTGATCTTTTCTGGGCATCTCATCTTGAGTCGTATTTATCACTAGGAATGAGCAAATCAATAAACCAATCGCTCAACAAATACTCTTTAGAAAATGGAGACGGATCAGAAACATGCTGAGAAGACTATTGAATGAGATCGTACTCCGGGTCATCGAGTAGTATATGGATGGAAACGACAAGTTGAACTTCCGAGTGTGATATAATGGAGACCATATAAGGAGGAGATGACAGCACGTGGGCCTTATATTCTGCTGAGAACCCAAGGAAGTTATAATAACTAATGTCATCATGAATAAGGCAATTAAAATGGCCTTTACACGCTAGGACTTTCCAAGAGTTTGTACGCAGAATCAGTAACTAAACGGAATAAAGGTATAAACTAATGGCGACCAATTTTGTTGGCATCAGATGGTGGAAGGCAATCAGTAGAAAGCCTTCGACTTGGGTTTCGTGCCAGATGGCACTCACGATTCAGCAAGGCGTATCTGCAACCTTGAAGGAACTCATGTCCCTTTTGAGATTCGAACTTGCGTCACCCAGTGCTGCCCGAAGTCAGAGAAGTTACCACTGAGATATTTAGTCCCGCGATTGACCTGTTTTGTGTTGAGGTTGTTCACCAAACAGATGATCGATAGCTAGGACTGTTGAAGAATCTTGGTCGTGGTACACGAAACTACCCAATGCCTCTTTTTTTCAACTGACTTCTATTTGATATCGATTCATGAACAAAATCACCTTGGAAGTTGACGCATAAATCATTTTAAATTTATTAAAGTTTTGCAATTAGTAGTGTCCTCTGAGCTGGTTGGTTTAGTTGTGGAGCTTTCGTCATCCTTCTGGAAAATATCCCCCTTCAGAGCAATTTTCAGCATAAAGTGAACTAATTTAAATTTTCCATGAATGATAGAAATGCGTCTCTCGGTAACCATCTTTACATATGTATTGATCATTTTCTATTGACTTTGATTTTAAACTTTCTGATCACATGATTTACTTTTTATTAGTTGATATATTTGGTCTGTATTAACATGTCTGCTGATTGCAATAACCCAATTACTCACAATAGCAATTGTGTGCAGACATTGTTTAAAAGAGGGTTTAAACACATTGTAGCACTCCAGAGTTGAAAAGAAAGGAAGAAAAATACCTACTAACCATCTTCAAAAAGAATGGCTATCTACCAAATTTCATCAAAAAGTGTTCAAAATCGAATCACAATACCATTATCAAAAAACGCAAGAAAATTCGTCCTACCATATATAAAAAGTATCTCTGAAATAACAGCTAGAATATTAAAACCGTTTGAAACAAATATAGCATACAAGCCCACCAGCTAGCAGAATCACTTCATTCGATATTGTGCAAACTGAAAGACCCATCCAACAGAAAAAGGAGATGAAATTAATACAATTTACAAAATAAATTGTATGAACTGTAACACGCATTACATCGGCCAAAGTGGGTATCCCTTTCGAATCAGAATCCAGGAACACAAATCAACTGTGAAAAGACATGATACATACTCTTTCATGTCAATGCATGTACATAATTATGGACCTCAATTTGATTGGGAAAATGTCGAAATCTTAGACAGAGGAAACACCAAAAATGCCGACAAGGAATACCTAGAAGCCTGGCACTCAAACAAATATGCGATTAACAAACATGTTAAATATAGACCAAATATATCAACTAATAAAAAGTAAATCATGTGATCAGAAAGTTTAAAATCAAAGTCAATAGAAAATGATCAATACATATGTAAAGATGGTTACCGGGAGACGCAATTCCATCACTCATGGAAAATTTAAATTAGTTCACTTTATACCGAAAATTGCGCTGAAGGGCGATGTTGTCCATAAGGATGACGAAAGCTCCACAACTAAACCAACCAGCCCAGCGAACACTATTAAATGCAAATCATCCACCTGAGCCACAAATCTTCTCTAATATTTATTAAAGTTTTGAATGTACAATAAAGAATAAATTAATCTCCGTTTAGTTAACTAACCGATCCTAATTTCAGGAAAGAGGGAATGTTGGGTATATGAGGCTAGCAATTATACCCAGTAATAAACAACCTCGTTACTATGGAAACTTCAAAAAGAGAAAAGAAAAACAAAATTATTTTCAAATATTATAATAAAGTCAATTGAAAATCAGTTCCATTTTCTTTGCATATTTGTACAGTTATTTGAATATATATGTATACATTTCAAACAAAATTGAGATCTTATCTTCCAACTGATTGATACTTTGTTATTATTATTAGTAATAGTAGTAGTGATGTTTTGAGCACTCAATATTGAATACATCTCCCGCCAATATTTTGATTCAATGTTCAACAGCTTTATAGGTTGACGCCAATTGTTTTAAACCTGTTTTACTAATGAAACAAAAAAAAACAGAAAATTAGTCGATTAAAACAAAACAAAAAGTATTACCCAATGTGTAACATTAAGAACACAATATTCAGCGAAGAGACTCTTTTCAACGAATTTATTATCAAGCTGTACAATCGTATACATATATATATGCTTTTATAAAGAAATTCCCTGCAGCTGAATTACATATAACGTTCACTAGCCCCAAGGTGTTCTCCATCTCTGTGAAAGATAAGCTCCCTCGTCTGGCCGCCTCCATGTGCATCTAACAGTTCACCTGACCCTATTGTGGAGCAAAGTACATTGGCCGTAGTCAGAGAACGCTCTCCACATGGATACGAGAACATATTCCAGCCACATGCTTTTACAAGGGAGAAAGAGAGTGTGTGCAAAGCTCTATTCTGGAACACCTGAACGACTTCTGTCACGCTGTTAACTCTGACCATGATTTTAAGATCATCTACCAAATCCACACTAACTTCCCGTGTTTCCTTCGTTACAGACTTCTAAAGACAGCTAAGGTCTTGACAATTCATGACTTTAAGCCAGCCATACCTTTGTGTACAAAAGAAGTATGTACAATCCCTACTTCTGCCTTGGCCGTAGAGGGATAGACATTTATTTATTTTGTTTATTTAGTTATTCTATATACCTTTCCCTTACTACTACGATTATTATTGTTATTATTTTCACTCTGAATCTTTTCCACTTGATCCACTTGACATTTTAAACCCAAAATAATTAATTTGTATAATTTTTATTTTTACAATATTGAATTCTATCTTATCAAATTTCACACCATGTTATGTAACATTTTATATTCGTCTACTACCTTTCTAAAATCTATACACCTTATGAATTATTCCATATATGACATTGGTTGTTTTGCTACTTGACATTTAACTATGATTATAATCACAAATGTTTTAATTTCATTTCATACTATTATTATTTCATGTATTCACACCTTTGACCTAATTCCCTCAACGGATATAATTTCTTTATAAAACCATATATATATATATATATATATATATGATTGTACAGCTTGATGATAAATTCATTGTGGAAAAGAGTCTCTTCGCTGAATATAGTGTTCTTAAAAATTATTAATACCGACGTGAAGAACTTAGAAGACGTGGATTTCGCGGATAACTTATGTTTGATGTCACACACAATCGAAGACTTACAAGCGAAAACCGACAAACTGGTCGAAGAAGCAGCAAAGACAGGACTCCAGGTAAACATAGACAAGACGGAGGTTATGAAAATAACCAACCAACAACAGCAACAACATCCAACGTCAATCACCATCAACGGGAGGGATTTGAAAGAGGCTACTTCATTCACTTATCTAGGGAGCATTGTCTCAACTACAGGAGGAGCGGACGAGGATGTCAAATCGAGCGAGAATCGGGAAGGCGAGAAACAAATTCATCAACCTGAAACCAATCTGGAAATTTTCGTCACTCAGCATCACCAACAAAATTCGGATTTTCAATACAAACGTAAAGTCAGTTCTTCTATACGGATCAGAAACTTGGCGGGCGGGTCTCAAAGAATATTTCCAAAAGGTTGCATACCTTTGTTAACAACTGTCTTCGCTCAATACTGAAAATCAGATGGCCGGAAAGAATCCCCAACAAGGAATTATGGGAACAAACAAAGCAAGAACCAATCGCCAACCAACAAATATGCAGGAGAAAGTGGAGATGGATCGGACACTCGCTGAGGAGACCGCTGGGTGACATCGCGCGCCAAGCCCTCGAGTGGAACCCGAAAGGGAAGCGGCGTGTGGGACGTCCAAGGGTGACATGGAGGAGATCGTGTGAAGAGGAGTTCGAAGAATATGGATTAACATGGATGCAGGCGAAAAGTATAGCAGAAGACAGAAGAAAATGGAGACGTGCAGTTGAAGCCCTATGTTCCACTAGGAACCCAAGGGAGCAATAATAATAATAATTATTATTATTAATATCAACATTGACTTACACTTCTTTCATATACACATCTTTACTGATCAATTCAGCTGGATCTTCGGTGATTTTTTTATCATACTGTTGAATACCAAGTGTTTCTAAGGCATGTTGATATCTATCCAGTGTGACGGCGTTCTTTTCACACGGATCAAGCATATTGAATATTGATTCGGCATTAGCTTCAGTAAATAATGACGGTGGGTCAGAGTATTCATCACGTGCAGCTTTTAGCAAATGAAGTTGTTCAGCTAAGAATTGTTTTGGATTTTCTGAAATGGTAAAAATAGAATCAGAGATTTATTATTATTATCATTATTTTTAAATAGAGAAGATTTGTAGGTTAGGTGGATGATTTCGATTTGATCGAGTTCTCTGAGATTAGTGATTTAATTGCAATGCTGTCAGTGTCTTTCTGGAGAAAACATCTTCAGGCCGAATCTTGGGCACTCTGCTGGTAGAGTATAACTCCATTATAGATAAGATTTTATTTTGATAAATCACGCAGTGTGGTTATACAGTAATATTAACTGATGACCACCTTTCGAGCACAATTTATTATTACTGCTCATAATCATATCAAGTCACTCACTCACTCACTCACACGACTTTCTTGCTTCATTTACATACATGAGTGAACGGAATGGAACGGACGAAGGTAGACTGCATACTAGCGTTTATATAAAGCCAACGTATTTTCCTAATAGATATTTAGTCTTCAATTCATCTCATCCGTCACGTGTCTGTGAACGCTGGCTTAGTTAAGTGTCTAACGAACCGAGCAGTGGTACTAAGTAGTACAGAAAATAACCTAAATGATGAAATGAAGCAGATAGAAGAAGAAGCGTCGGTATCAAATAACTACAAAATTCATTGGGAATATCAGAAAAAAATTCAAAAGCAAAATAAAAATAGTGGTGGAACTAATGATGATAACAAAAATAAGAGAGAATATAAGACATCTACAGTTATATCATACAAGGAGGGGGAGATATGAGGCCCTAAGTACTATTCTCAATAGAGCAGGGATCAGTATGGCATTCAAGCCCTCGAACTCACTCAGATAGGACAAGCTATGTAGGCTAAAGGACCCGGTGGACTCAATTAAACAAAATAATATAATGCAAAATATACCTTGCAATGACTAGGAGTTAAGTCAACTACATAGGTCAAACTAGTAGATCAGGAGTAGTGAGATTATCAGAACATAAGAATTTAGCTAAGGTCATAATGTTTGATCCCACGAAGATAAGTAACTTAGAAAAAATCTCAGTGATTGCACTTCACGCATTAATACATAAACACACAATAGGGTGGTGGGAGAGGGTTAAAATTCTAAGAAGTAATATAAGTAGGTGGGAGGACAGCGATTGATTACTGAATCCTACCTGGTTCATTGAGTCTACACCCAACACACGCAATAGAAGTGACTTAGTACAAATACCAGAAATATGGAAGATATTATTACCACCAGTCAGTCAGTCAGTCAAATCAGAGGAGGATAATAAATAATCTTAAATTGTATTCTATTTCAATTCATTTCACGTACACCACAACATTCTGACAAGTTACTTATTTATTTTTACTATAAAAACACTCGTCTTATTTCCCATCTGATTGTATTTGATTGACAACACTCATATTATTATTATTATTTCTGAATGTACATTATCACATATTGATTTTTATTCAATCAAATATCTAATCATCAATTTCACTCATGTGTATAAATGAAGTAAAAATTTGTGTTGAGTGAGTGACTTGATATGATTATGAGCAGTAATAAATAGTTTGTGCTCGAAACGTGGTTATCACTTAATATTACTGTACAACAACACTGCGTGATTTATCAAAATAATATCTTATCTATAATGGATCTTCAGGCCAAACTTCAGTATGAAGCCGGCTTATCTGAATTCTCCATGAATGACATAATTGGATACGCAGGCAATCAATCATGACAAAAACTGTCAGAAAGTCCAATTATAACATTCATGGAAAATTCCAATATGTTCGATTTATATTGAAGTTTTCCACTGAAGACATTGCCTAGAAGGACATAGAAAACATCCGAATTAAACCACCTAACTCAGAGACATCCAACTATGTCAACAACAAAAAATAAAATAATTCGATTATAAATATTCAGACCTGAGGCGTCATGAATTTTAAAAGAACCAAAACCAAGTCTCTTTCTTTTGAACATTTCGCTACACATACGCCACAGCTTCTTCAGTAGAACCCCACTCGGATAAGTTTGACTGAGCGAAAAAAAAACACGTTTGAATGAAGACAGAACGAGCAGATATTTGCAGACAGGATAATACGAGCTCGTTTTATTTTGTGGATTATCTCTCTCTTCAACTAAGTCGTACATCCTAAATAAATCGATTAGAAGTTACAAAATGGTGTCTGAATATACTTTTTTCCACAATGATTTCAAGTTATGGACAGAAAGTAAAAAGGCAACATAATGTCAAAGATGTTGTAAGTAGACGAATTATTTTTTGGTGTTAAAGCTCCAATCTCCAGACATCTAATTGACACGGGACATATATGTAGTGGAAATTAGTCAGGCTTTCAAAATAATCAGCACACAAGGAACCTCATGGTTACTTCTGAATAAGGCATTTAAAAGACAAATTTCGCGAGATGATGTCATTATTTTGTAGTTTCTTTACAACCCCGCTTTAGAACTAACATGATTAACAATCATAAAATAAAGTCCCATTGGCTTAATGGTATACGAGCTCGCCTTGTAGCCGCAAGGTCCTGGGTTCGAATCCCGGTGGGTGCGTACTGCTGAAGAGTCCCAAACTAGTCTGACGAAACAGCTGTCCAGTACTCCCAGGTTTTCCAATGGTTCTCTAACTAATGTCAGCTCATGATGAAATCGTGAAAGTTCATAAGAATTACTCAGTTAAATAAAAAAACAAAAGTACATACTAATGACCAATCATATTTATTTTTTATTTTATTTATTTTTGATTACAGCTTGATTCCACACTGTATTTTTGGTACAAGTATGGAATTTTCAGCGTGGATATCGGTAGCCCAAAATTCGCAGGCCAACCATTGATATCAAGTGTGCGTCCACGTGGGCTCGAACCCCAGACCATGTGCATGGTCGGCGAGAGTCCTAACCACTGTGCCACCGACGCACATGAATAGGTCATGTAGTTCATTACAGTAGGCGAAGATTGAAGTCTATTGTTTTTTTTGTACACACACAGTTTAGGCTGTATGTGATTAAATCAAAGGGCTTCCATCACCTTCAGTAGTAACCTTATATTAGAGCTATGTGATGAAATAATTGTGAAACTGTCATTAATATTGATTTTGTGACCTGACACTAATAAGTGCTTTGCAATGGATGATGATGCTGGATTTCTATTCAGATCAATCGTATTGGGATTTTTTAATAATAATAATAATAACAGCTTTATTCCAAACAGTATTTGTGGTACAGGTATGGAATTTTCAGCGTGCATTACAGTATATTGCATCTAATTACCTCATAAATTATATAAGATTTTTAAAAATCAAAAATAAATAATAAAATAAATAAGTTATAAATAAACAAAATAAATAAATATTAAAAATTAAGAAAAAAAACAAAAAACAGCGTAGAGTATTTCATTTCAAACAATGCACCACAGGATTTGAAACATAAAGTTGATGTATGGTAGTAGATGAGAACAATAGTGTAGTAGTAACGAGGAAGGGAAAACAAAACCTAATGAGACTATTTGTTAGAGTGCTGCAGTAAGTTTATCGTGTCATACCTAACGGATTTCTCATCACATAACAGCTGTGCCAGATATGGTATTGTGGAGTTTTTGTATTTGGTAGTCCTAGCATATAGCCTCCTATAGCTGCTTCTAGTTCTTCCAGATGAAATGCAAGGAGACAGCTGCGTATAGAGAGGATGCTCGGGGTCCGACAATATTGTATTCGCTAGTTTCTTACATGACATTATATGTCTATCTACAATAGTGTTCACCAGTTGGTTTAACGATATCCCACTTGCCCTACTAACAGCTTTTAGTGCCCTTCTCAGCGAAGCAAAGTCTTTCTTAAGTAGTCCAGGAAAGACTAATGGGGAGCAGTAAAGGAGGATGGGTAGAATACAAGAATTTACAAACTGAGAAAGCAAAGACTGCTTTATACCAGACTGCCTAATTTTCCTATATAAGATTTCCTATATGATTTATTAGCCATTTTGGAACATGTTCTTTTCAACGATATTGGAACATTCTATTGGTTCTACCTATATACGTGTGTCACGGTAGCTGCAGATAAACTTGTAGATACAGTTTGAGAGGAGTAGAGTCTACAGAATTTCGTCCTTTAATCGGAGGTAGGTACAGGGATTGAAAATGTTCGGCAAGTGAGGTAAAAGAGATGCGGCGTAGAATGTACTTTTGATGGTTGACCCAAGTGTCTTTGAGCTAACCGTCAACTGCATACATAATCTGGTCGCCCTTAAATGGGTAGGTTACTTCTGTTTGCAGAAGCCATTGACATCAAAAGACTTTGAGTCAGTTATGACTAAAACTGGAGTGAATAAACTCCGTCGCGCTACTTTGTTATGTCTGCGCCTGTAAATTACTATAACGGTAATGAAGTCGACTGGCACACTAATACGCCTCTATTTGTCCGCTGTACCTTCCGATTCATTGAGCCAAGCAAATATCAAAAGACAAAGGTTGACTGGCCTGTGACTTTAAGATATTGCATTATACAAATGTTAGGAAACAAAACATGAATTGTGTATATATTTAATTTATCACAATACAGTCGGCTCACAACTGTGAGAATGGTCTGTTCTTAGTGGCTAGAAATGTCTATTCTGATTGGTTAGTGATCTGACAAAGACCAAGGTTGAGATAAAAGACAATGAATTGATCACACAATATAAATCACAATATGCGTGAGATATGATAGATCCAAATAGTAACTCCATCATACGATAAATCATACGATCTGTGAGAAAGTATGAGATACTTTATTATGCTGGGTCCTATTCATACAGAAAGAGAATGTGATAATCCCTCACTACCCTACCTGGTAACCACAACTGTTTTATTCGTGTGATTTTGTATTTTGTTCTGTTCTGCATAACATTCCAATCAATCTGTGCGTCGGTGGCACAGTGGTTAGGACTCTCGCCAACCATGCACATGGTCCGAGGTTCGATCCCCGCTACCGACGCACACCTGATATCTATGGTCGGCCTGCAAAATTTAGGCTACCGATATCACATGCTGAA